TATGAGCTTCACTGTAATTCTTCTAATTCTTAAGAACATTTATAATTTATTATTTATTTACATATATGAGGCTTTTCTTTACCCTGCTATAATCATTTTGATTTATGCTTTGAAAGTATTTTATATAAAAGTTAGTGGTCAAAGGAGAAGCAGATGAGGACAAGATATATTTATTTTGTACATTTTTCTTTTTTGGATTTAGAAAAACATCAAACATATCACTTTTCTCCTGTAACTGCCCAGAGACAGAGCTACATAGCTCTCCTTGTTCCTGCACCCTACAACAGTGTAGGACAGCTTATGGAAAAGAGAACATACACCAGGTGAAAACAATCACCCAGGGAGGGGACCTAGGGGCTATTCTTCCCATGTCATTCATCATTTACTGTCTGACTTGAGGTGTCAGGCACTGTCCTAGTTTCTGGGAATAAAATGATAAACAAAAACAAAACCCCTCACCTTCATAATAGAGTTTATATTTTAGGGCAGAAAAGGACAGACAGACAAGACATGTAAGCACCTCATCTGTCAATAGTGACAGGTGTTAGGGAGGACAAAGCAGGGGGTGAGGGATAGAGGTGTGGGTGGGGAGCAAGATAGCACTGTCTAACAAACGGAAAACTCTGAGGCTGAAGGAAGCAAACCAAGAGGATATCTGAGAGAAGTACATCCTAGGCAGAGGACATTGCAGATGCCAAAGGCTGGAAAACAGTGTGAATGAATGGGAAGCAGCAAAAAGGCCAGCATGGCTACTGGTGAGGGAGGGGAAAATGCAAAGAAGTAAGGCGATCGACCTGCTGGCCTTGGCGTGCGTGGTGGGCATGGCCAGGATTCTGGATTTGATTCCAAGTTATTTGAGAAGTGGGTGGAGGGTGTAGAACAGATTTTGCTTCTGTTTAGAACACTCACTTTGGCTGCTGTGTGAGGAACTGGGTGTGGAAATGGGACCAGCTTGTGGGTCCAGTGCAAAAGCCTCAGTCACTGATGACCCAGGCATGGGCCTGGCAGGCAGCACCGTGGCGCCCTGCAGTGGGAATGGCTGGCTTCGTAAGGAAGGCCCCTGGGTTTGCTGCTGGATGGATGTGGATTATAAGTCACAGGGATATTAAAGATGATGCCAAGGAGACTGGCTGATGTGGGTGAGAATGCACCTGCCAACTCTATTCTCTTCCCTTGTGTTCCAAGTTAATTACTCATAAACACACAGCTTCTTGCAAAACAATCCAAAACACAAAGTGATTATTTGACTTAGAAGTGTAGCAAACCACAAAGCAATGGCTTTGTTGCTTTCTATTTGGTTGTTACTAGTTTTATTTGAACAGATTGAATTTCCCCTCTGATGGTATTTCTAAAGTCAATGCAACTAACTTTGATCAGTAGTAAATAACTGTCACCAGAGGTAAAAGAACTATCCACCCAGGTCACACGTTTGTGCCAGGAGAAAAGAGATAAAGAGAAGCACTTGTAAATTTGGCCAAGAAAGTATGCTCAGAGTTCTATAAATGAGCAACAGAAAAGGACGAAGAATTGAGTCAAGAGAGCAAAGCGGAAAAGACCTCACCTGAGTCTCACATTTCAATGACGGTTTCCCCTTGCATTTTAGTAACTTAATAACCACATTCAGCATTTCTGCACAAACTCTCAACAGTAGTTAGCTGGGTGTGAAAATGGTTACAACTACTTGAATAAAGATCTGTATGACTGAAGTCTCATGTACACAGAGGAAAAGCTACTTTTAGGTCACAGCTTAAGCAGCTCCAGGGGCACCATTGATTACAAGATCACGGCTTAATTGTGTGTCCCTTCAACACCAAACCCTTCTCAAAGGTAGGAGAAAAGCAGTATGGCTAACTGCAAGGTCAAAGCCATCATGCTAGCCCCATAGGGAACAACCCTGACCAGCAAGGGAAGAAGAGTGCTTTCCCAGTCCTCCTTTTCTGGGCTTATTTAGAAAGCTGAGACTGATTCACATTTCTGGCCACAGAGGTGGAACAGCCCAGGGGTGGAACACAGGACAGAATGTTTATGACATTCCTGTCAGTCTCTCATTCACAAAAGCCACACCTCATTCCACAGCAGGAAAGAATAAAGTCCTATGTTAGTTTGGATAGTGTGGCAATGGACAGGGGGAGAAGGAGAGATAGCTGATCATCAAAAAAAGGAAATAACTAGATAGCACTTCCCCATCAACTAGTTGCTAACGCCTCCTGTTGGGAAGGACTTCATTTTCCAACAGGAGCAATCATCACCTGTCTTTTAGTCATGTAGGCATGAGAAGAAAGAAAACCCTAAAATCTATAAAAGGACTGTCAGTCCATCACCTACTGTCCATTTGTCCATCCACCCACCCAATTGGCAAAAAAAATAAAAATAAAAATAAATAACCAACATTACATTAAGTGAAAAACTCCTAGGGGTTAAGTTCTGTACTAGGTGCTGAGCATCCAAAATTAAATAAGATCTAGGGCATGTTCTCACTTAAGACAGTTCATAGGCTAGAAGAAGTGCTTATAGAACAGAAGTTTTGACATGTGCAGGACTTTGATCTTTATAATGGCCCCGGTTCAGTGTGGTTGTGTCCTTCTTAGGAGATAAGGGCGGGGCCCTGGTTCAACTTGGCTTGTGTACTTATAGGAAGCTGGGTGAAGGGCCCTTGGTTTGGTGTGGTTGGTGTCCTTATAAGGAGATCAGGGTGGGCCCTTGGTTCAGCATGGTTAGTGTCCTTATAAGAAGAGCAGCACAAGTTTTGATCCAATGTAACTTCCTTCATTATACAATTATCTTCCCTCCTATTTAGTTGATATTGTAGTAAAACATGAAAATTGCCTTGCCTCTCATTTTGGGCAAACTCTACAAGTATTTCTTTGTGCTTCCCATGGGGGGTTCCATTTAATGTCAGAAAGAGATGCCACTCGGATGTGAATCTAAAGCAACATGACTTCAGTAGGGTACAGATGCAGCTGCTGTACCTCTCCAACCCTGCCCCTCAGTTACTGATGTTACAGTGTTATATACGGTATTTATTCAATACCATAGAATAAAATCAGGGTGTTTTGATACATTATTCTCTTACAATTTTATAGAAAACTAAAGTAGCACTAGCTTTTATAATTGTCATGAATCTGCTTTACCAGGGATCTTTCTGGCTTCATCAAGATCTGAGTTCCTATCTAAGGCCCTTCAGTGCAACCTGAAGGACTTCCCTCACACAGGGCACATCTAGTGGGGACCAACTCCCTGGGCTCTTGTTTATCAGGTGCTGTCATTTGAATATGTGTATCTCCAAAATTCCTGTTGACAGTTCAGCCTCAATGTAACAGTTTGACAGCTGGTTAGGCCAGGAAGTTCCCAGGCCAGGGATGGGATGTGCACATTAAGAGAGATTCTCCAGCATGTGCAAGGACCTGGTTCAGTTCCCAGCACAGTACAGGGGTGTATGCCACCCCCCGTCCCACAAGTACATTTTTCCAGCTGGGCACAATGATGTATGGCTGTGTTTTAATTAGCTTTTTGATTGCTGTAATCAAAACATCCAACAAGAACAACTTGGAGGAGGAAAAGCTTCTCTGGGGCAAACAGTTGCAGAGGTCTCAGTTCACAGACAGCTGACTCCATTGCTCTGCCCAAGGTGAGGTCATCCATCATGGGGGAAGGGCCCAGTGGAGTAAACCTGCTCACTGCAGGGCAGCAAAGAAGCAGAAATCTCTAGTGTAGATATGATGAGGTCTTCCAAGGTCACAAAGGCATTACAGATTTTCTGACTCAAAATGAAAAGACTACTGAAGTATCCCACAAATCTTAATTCTAAACAAGTAACTATCAGCCTCCATAACACAGTGAAGCAAAAAACCTTCCAGTGTCCTTTCTTATTTTTATTATAAAAGTGGAAAAGGTCCTGGAGGCCCAAAAGTGAGATGACCACTGGAAGTTATGCTCGGGTGTGACTGGGTCATTTCTCGCCCTGACCTGATAAGGAACCATTGTGAGGGAAATTCAAAGAGAAGGTATATAAGAGAGTGGCTGCAGCTGGGTTTTTGTCCTTAAGTACATGGTTGTCATCTTTGGATATTGGGGGGTTTTTTCCTTTGCTTTTGTTTTTTGTAGTTTTTGTTTTGGTTTATTATTACTATTTTTTTTTAAGCTAGCATCCTAAGATGGTGTTCTGTTTCAGGATAAGCAGTGAGAGTGTCAGAACAGTGTAGAGCTGCAGGGGCCAGGCTCCTATGAGCCCACCTTCATGGACCATTATGAAGTTGTGCAGGGCAATGGGGAAGGGGACTTCACCAAGGTGAAGCTTACCTGCCATTGAGTCACTGGGACAGAGGTTGTGTTGAAGGTCATGGCAAAAACAGCCTGAAACCTCCCCTTCCTACCTGAACCTAAGTTGATGTTGGGCTTCAACCACTCAAATGTGATCCGGCTTTTTCAGGTCATTGAGACCATCAAATATGTCTACATTGTCATGGAGCATGCAGGTGGGGGATATCTACAGAGCCTCATCTTGGAACCTGGTAGCATGCCAGAGGAGGAGCCCACAGATTCTTTAGACAGATCATATGTGCCGTGCAGTACTGCCACAAGAAGGGTACCATGTGCCAGGACCTCAGGTCTGAGAGCATCGTGCTAGATACCAGTGGCAAAGTATGGACTTTGGCCTGAGCACCTGATTCACAGCTGGGCAGAAGCTGACCAGGTTCTGGGGCACTCTCCTATACTTTGACCCTGAAGTTGTTGGGCAGGAGGAATATGAGGCTCCCCCCACACCAACGTCTGGAGCCTGGGCATCCTTCTCTATTTCATGCTGACAACACTGCTCGGGAGGTGAGGAAGCTGATCATGGAGGGAATGTGTGGCATTCCCCTGCATGTTTCTGAGGGAGCTCAGAGCCTCATCTGTGAGAGCCTGATGGTGGACCCCATGCAGAGGCCCACCCTAGAGCAGATAATGGGGCACCCATAGCTGAGCCAGGGCAAGGAATCTTCACTCAATCCTTCTGATCAGGCACTCCTCAACCTCCCAGGTCCCGCCATTATAACATCTATGTTCAGCAAGGGTTATGACCCCTACAATACCTAGGTATCACTGTCAAATAAGAAATCTGATGACGACATGGCTACATACCTCCTGCTCAAGCTACAGAGAACCCGGGAGGTGGGCTGTGAGTGCCAGTTGAAGCCCATGCATCATAGGATGGTTGGGCCTCCCCAGGCCCTGCAGATCCTCCCAGGGTCTGCCCAAGAAGTGTTCCAGTGAGCCTGCCCTTCATTTGCCCTGTGAGCAGCAGCAGCCTGAGGAGGCCAAGCAGACCCAGCAGAAGGGTGGTGGCAGTGCCAGCGTGCCTGCCATTTGTCTCTGCTTTTTCCACACGGGCCCACTCCCTCCTAGCCCAGGCTCCCAGCAGGATGCTGCACCCAGCAGGCCCGACTGCTTGATGGTTGCAGAAGACAGCAGCACATCCTCCCCAGGTACCTCATCAGAGAAATCACCTCCTGTGACTCTCTTCCAGCCTTTTGGTTACGTTTGGTTATGTAGGCATGAGAAGAAAGGAAACCTGAAATCCATAAAAGGGGGTAGGACAGTCCCACTCCCTCAGGCACTAGCTTTGTGAGTGAGTTTCTTTAGAGGAGTGAGTTTCCCTCTTTCTCTCTCTCTCTGCTCTGTTTCTTAAATAAAATTTACTTAGGCTCTGGCCTCAGCATTTCTCCCATGTTTAATCTTCAACAGGGGGTGGCGGGGATAAGGGCCCAAGGTCTGATTTTCAAGACCGGTATCACAATGAAGGGCAAATCTCATGACTGAACAGTATACAAAAAAGACTATTTTCACATCCACAACCAACAATTGCAGTAGCTTTGAGCTCAAAAACCAAACTTACACAAGAGACCCCAAAAAGAGTTAGGGAGGAAGGACATTGGACAGGAAAGAGGGA